CAATACTTATTTTATTTTTATGTTCTTCTCTAGACTTATATATTTACTTTGACCGCAGTGTCATTGATTTTCAAGGTGACAGTAATCCAACTCAGCTCTAGACTGGATTGGCTAAGAACAAATCGAATTAGAGTGAACTCAAAAGGTTTATTGTCACATTTGATCTAATTTTTCATTGCTAATGATGACTAGATATTCACGGATCAGGTATTTTATTATGAAACAAAAATACAGAGGGTTTGATGTGCACGAACTAGAAGAGTTGTCTAGAAAATCAAACACAAACATCTTCCTTGTTTCAGCATTGAAACTAGTTGGCCCAGCTTTTAAAAAAAAATGTTTGAAAGTATTTTTAGGAAATTCTGAAGCCTGCTCTGACTGACTTGGATGTTCTTTTTTTAAAAAAAAATTAATTGAAGCACCATAAGATATGGTTATAAAGTTTTCACGTTGAGTTTCAGTCATACAATGATCAAGCGGAGACATATGTTTTTTAATGAAAAATGTTGGTTTTGTTTTGGAGCCATGCCAGGTAGTGCTCAGGAATATTCCCAGCTGAGTGCTTGGGAAACCATGTGGTTCCAGGGCTCAAACGCAGGGCTTCAGCATACGAAACAGGTGCCCAACCCTTAGAGCCTTCTTTCAGGATGGGTGGATTGTCATTAACGGCCCATGCCAACTGCGTTATTTGACTTGGATGTTCTTATAGAAAACCTGAACCCTTGGCCCGTCTAATACTGAGCTGGATGAAGTTTCATGACACTGGGAATCTGCCTGTTGCTCAGATTCCAGCCTCCCTCTGGACTCCGGCCGCTTGGCCGTGTGTCAACTCCTCTAAGGCAGGACATACTCCCACACTGGGCTCTGGTGACCCGTCCTGCTTGAGAAAAAATGTTTCCTTCTGTTCTGCTGCCCATTCTTAGTTGATTCGTACATATCCCAGATCTTTTCCTCAGAGAAGCCCCCCAATACTGGGTTTTTCCTTTCTTGTTTCCAGAGAGTATGCGATACTCTGCCTCACATCACACTTGTAACGATAACATCTGTGGCGTTATCCACTTAACAGCACCTATAGCCTTAGATTGTAAGTTGCTAAAAGGCCTGAATTATTCTTTTTGAACAGCGGGAGGCTCTAGACGTGTATTTTCTATAAGGACTTACATAGAGTGGGGATTGAGGGGGAGGAGAACTGATGAAATCAACTGAGTCAAGAATTATGGATTGACACAAATGTGATAGTGAACAATGTACAGTGTTGGTTGTGCACAAACTTACATGTGCATCTCTGATATCTGTGCTCACAGATGCGTATTTTCACAAATCACCTTTATGAGTGAAAATAATTGAAATTAAGGATACAAAGAATCTTGCATTTGTAGCCCCGAGTGGTCCATAATACAATGTCTGGAAATGTGAAGGACAATTTTGTATATTTGTTTGTTACTAACTCAGATCATTAAAATGAGAAAAAAAAATTTAAACAACAACAAAAATTGTGGATTGAGATGCTCTTTGTCCCTGGCCATGTATTTTGTGATGTCAGCTCTGTTTCCATTCCATCCTTGGGCCAAGGGAATGTCCACTATGGGCAGCAACTCCCAATGCCTGTGCTCTAACCTATCACGAGATGTATGTACTTGTTGGGAGTGGCTGATGGTTATATTTATATACAACATACAAGGGCTGGAGTGATAGCACAGCGGGTAGGGCGTTCGCCTTGCACGCGGCCAACATGGCCGACCCGAGTTCGATTCCTCTGCCCCTCTCGGAGAGCCCGGCAAGCTACCGAGAATATTCGATATGCCAGACACAGTAACAACAAAGTCTCCAATGGAGACGTTACTGGGCCCGCTCGAGCAAATCGATGATCAACGGGAGGGCCTTTACCTTTGCCTTTACCTTTTACAACATACAAGTCCTTCCTGAGACTCGAAACTGCCTACGGCACAGGCCAGAAGAAACTTCGAGTTCTTTTTTTTTTTCTTTTTGAGTCACACCCAGTGATGCTCAGGGGTGACTCCTGGCTCTGCACTCAGGAATCACTCCTGGCGGTGCTCAGGGGACCATAAGGGATTCTGGGAATCGAACCCGGGTCAGCCATGTGCAAGGCAAACGCCCTACCCACTGGATTATCTCTCCAGCCCTCAAGTTCTTATTCATGACAGTGACCCTTCCCATTTTGTGGAATCGCTCTTGACATTTCACTTTATGCCCACCGAGGATTATTTCCCCTGACCCCCACATTCATCCCTCAAAATCCACTCAGCCTCTTTCTCATGTTACTATCATCTTTATTTGCGGATTAACAAATATCGGGAAGTGTTTTTTTTTTACCCTCTTATGCCTGCAGACAGCCACGACTGGAGGTGGCAAATCACTGGTACAGAAAACCAAATAGAATTAATATTTTGGTGAATTATTCTTCTGCTCTGAAACTCAACAGATAATAGAAATAAACTCTACATGTTAAAGGTTTTCATTGTTCATGTCTGTGGCATTTTCCTTCTCCTTCTGAAGCAAAGTTTCCCTCACTTACATGACCTATAGCCCCTCTTTTATTTTTTTTTAATTTTTATTAGTGAAACATAAAGAGGTACAGTTGTAGACTTAAAAATTTTTTGTGCTTGGGTTTCAGTTATACAATGATCGAGTACCCATCCCTCCACCAGTGCCCATTCTCCACCACCACTGATTGCAGTATCCCTCCCAACCACCCCCCCCCCATCCCTCCCATCCCACGCCACCTCTGTGGCAGGGCATTCCCTTTTGCTCTCTCCTTTTGGGTGTTGTGGTTTGCAATAGCAGTATTGAGTGGCCATCATGTTTGGTCTATAGTCTACTTTCAGCATGCATCTCCCATCCTGGGAGAATCCTCCCAACACCCTTTATTTGGTGCTCCCTTCTCTATCTGAGCTGCCATTTCCCTAGCATGTGCAATAGCCCCTGTTTTAGAAGAAAAGAAAATCACTCAGTCTCCCCTTCTATTTTAAGCAAATAGAAGACACCCCCCAGTTGCACAGGAAGATACAACAACCCACTCGTCAGTCACCCCCATGCCTCCTATCCCTGGGTGGGGTGTTGTGCCCACTTTGGTAAACACCCACGTGAAAGATTCCCTGTAATCTTGAATCATTATAAGAGCAATCACCTGAGAATAAGCCATCTGCAGAAAAAGTCTGCTTCAAACTAATATAGGAGGTAGATAGAAAAGGGCCCCCAAGGCAATGGAATTCCTAGAAAGTGATAAAACCAATAGCCCAAGACTATAAAAAGCCCACCTTATTGAAACTGAGGCCTGATGAGACTTCACCTGAGCCAACAGACCAAAGAAGGCGGGACCCCGTCCCAGCTGAGAACCTCCTGCAGGAACAAATGCCAAGAAAGGAATTTCAAAGAGGACCATCAACCCCTCCCAATTCTACCCGCTGGCAGCCGCCCTAGCAAGGGACTCTTACCAAGCTAGAAGCCCCCCCCCCCTCAGGGCGGTTTGAGGAAGCCCTACAAAAGCCAACTTGAACAAAGAAAGCATGCACATTTGCTGCCCAAGCCTGTGTGCTGCTTGTGTTCACATGTCCAACCACATGTGGTGCTGAGATGTGTACCGGGCTCTCTCTGCCTCTGGAGAAACCCATGTTCTCTTTTGAGCGCGTCACACTCTCTCTTCCTCTCCCTCCTTCCCCTTCCTAAAATAACCTCCAAATAAAATCAGTTTTTACTCCACTGCTAGTCTCCTCGTGAAATTGTTTTTTTTTGCGTGTGAGGAAAAGAAGGGCCCACCAGGCCTGGGTGCACCTCAGGACTGGCTTTCTTTTCCTGCAAAGAGAAATTTCTCTCTAGCCTGAGTTCATGGCTCCCCGAGAGAAATCGGGTAGGGATTAACTCCCATAGCAAGAAAGACAAGTGGATGGCAGGTGTGGCTTGAGGACACTTAGTGGGGCCGGCGTGACCTCCTGGTCCTTGTTGAGAAGGGGCTCATGGCAGACTTGATCAGCTATAGCCTTCCCAGTCAGGTCCAGGGTGGAGAGGTGGATCGGGAGCAAGTGACGTCTCTCTCCTCTCCGCCTCACATAAATCATTTGTGGGGGGTCCCCTTGATTCAAAATACGATAGGAGTCCACAAGTAATTGATGCCAGTGAACCCCACCGGTGGCTCGTGTGAAGTGGGGAGGAGAAAGACAGTCACTTTCTCCCAATTCGCCTCTGCCACCCGGGACCCAGGGTTACTGGATTCTTGTCTCACCTCACAGAAAAGAATTTCAAGAGTAGACGAGCAGTGAAATTACAGTTTTAATTTAGAGGTTGTGAAGGGAAGGAGGGAGAGAAAGTAGGAGAGTTACGTGCTCAAGAGAGAACCTGGGCTTCTCCAAGGGCAGAGATAGCTGCTACACTCATCCCAGCATTAGACAGGAAAGCATGAAAGTCCACATCTCAAGAGGGGAGATGCAGGTGACACGTGTGCCAAGGAGACACATGTACTCAGGCACTGCATGTGCTCGGCCACGTGGGTGCAGGCAGCATAGGGGCTCGGGCAGCATATGCGTGTGCTTCCTTTGTTCAAGGTGGCTCTTAAAGGGTTTCTCCAGTCTGCCCCCACCTGGAGCTTCTACCTCGTCTAAGTCCCGTTGCTAAGGAGGTTGTCAAGGGGGTAGAGTTGGTAGTGGTGATGGTCTTCTTTGAAGTTTTGTTCCTGATGGAGATTCTGTTGGAGAAGGGGCCGGCCTTCTCAGGGTCTGTTACCAGTCCTCCATGAGGTCAGGGCTACTACTTCCCAGGAAATTTCCTGCCATTGCCTTGGAAGGGGCCTTCCCTATCTGCGCCCTTGTCGACATCTCTCCTTCCCAACTGCGGTGGCATGAAGCAAACACGTGTCTTCCAAGCTGGGATGACGGACCCCACTGCTCCTACGGGGTTCGAGCACTGTAGGATTCAGGCTTAGGTGTGTGTTTGACTCAGAGATAAGCAAGACGGTGTAAAATTCTTCCATGCCTCTCTCTCCCCAGCAACACGGATGTGCACACGGTGGCTTCGCTCCTTAAACTGTATCTCCGAGAACTTCCAGAGCCAGTTATTCCTTACGCCAAGTATGAAGACTTCTTATCCTGTGCCAAACTGCTCAGCAAGGAAGAGGAAGCAGTAAGATGATGCATTTCCCTCTAAGAGAGAGAGAGAGAGAGAGAGAGAGAGAGAGAGAGAGTGTGTGTGTGTGACTTTGTCAGGTTCTTATGGCCCTGGTGTGGTTTCTGTTTTTCTGTGTATTGACACTATACACATTTAGATGTTAAATACACAACTCTGATCTTACCTTTAGTCCTTTTCCTCATTAAAAAAAAATTGAGTTGAAGCAATAAAACCAGCACTCCTAGCTCCTATCAAGTGCTAATGTGTAATATATCAAGCTAAGTGATATTTTTAATAATTGTTTTTGGTGTTGGGAGCCACGCCCAGTGATGCTCAGGGTTTACTCCTGCCTCTGCACTCAGGAATTACTTCTAGTGGTGCTCAGAGGACCTTGTGGGATGCCAGGGGTCAAAAACAGGTCAGCTGCATTCAAGGTAAATACCCTAAACATTGTGCTATCACTCTGGCCCCTATATCAGGCTAAACAATTCATAAATAAAGTGGGTGCCTTATTTCAGGTTTAGTTTTCATTGTAACAATGTTACCTACTGCCTGTTTGTAAAATAGCTTTACTGTGGTATAATTTATATACTGTGTAGTCACGCATTTAAAGTGTACATTCTAGAATATTCTGAACTGTGTAACTGTTACCAAATTCTAATTTTAAACTATTTAATGTATTTTTAACACCTCATAATCATTCCTAAATCTGTTTCCCAGGCTCCTCCTTTCCCAGCGCTTGACAGTTCCTAATTTCCTTTCTGTCTCTATTGATTTGCCTTTCTGGACACTTTCTATAACTAGAGTTGTTCAGTACGTTTTTGTGTGTGACTGAACTTCTTCACCGATTTTGTGGCTCATCCACCTTGTAGTGTGAATCTATATTTTATTCCTTTTACCTGTTTATCTGTTCATTGACTGTAAGACTTATGTGTTTTCATCCATTGTTTATTATTCATTCTTCTATGAACATCCATATAGAAAGTTTAATATGGACATATGCTTTTATTTTTCCTATGTTGGGGGTAGAGCTTTGGAGCCATATGGAATTAGATTTTCTGGAAAGACTCCATCATTTTAAATTCCCACCAGCACTGTCTGCTCTCTCCAACTTCTCTTCCTTCTACAACTCCTAGTTCTTTCTTTCCTCTCATCATCCTAGTGTGTATATGCAGTCCATGTTTTTATTGGCTCTCTTTGTGGCTTATTTGGAAAGACATCTATTCAGATATTTTCCCACTATTAATTGGATTATTTTTATTACTGAAAACTCATTAGAGTTTACATACAAGTTCCTGAGAGATATATCACGATCACGACCATCCTGTTGTTCATCAATTGCCTCGAGCAGGCCCCAGTAACGTCTCCTTTGTTCTAGCCCTGAGATTTTAAAAAGTGCCATATTGAAGACTCTTTCAGGGTTAGGAGAATGAGACCCATCATTGTTACTGGTATTTGGCATATTGGGTACACCATGGGGAATTTGCCAGACTCTGCCATGTGGGCAGGTTACATTCGGTAACCTGCCAGGTTGTCCAAAGTAAGAATGAGATAATAAGAGGTCGCTTCTGGGAGCTGGGCTTTATAGTCTCTGGGTCTTGGCCGTTGATGGGATTACACAGCTCCAGGGGGCTAGATGGTGGGTGTGACCCCTGCCTACTGGAAGATGGAGGATCTGGGTAGAGGATGCTCAGCCCCGATCCGAGCACGCTTGTATATATAATTTACAAATATTTTCTCCCATCTTATAGGTTTGTGTGTGTCTCTCTCTGTATATGTGCATGTGTTCATTTTTGTAAATGAAGCTTTATTCCAATATTGTTTTACTATAATATCATTTGTGACAATCTTTGTGGTAGAATAATTGAGTAGTTATAGCAGAGACATACTTATTTTAAAAGTTTGTAAAGTTTACTCATCTTTCCCAGAGAGAAAAACAAATCACATGATTCATTAGCTTTTTAGATTTTAGAATAAATTCTACAATGAGAAAAACAAAAACAGCCCCTCTGTGAATTTCCAGAAAGACCAGACTGTCCTACCCTTTAGTTCACCCCAACTGATGTGTCTGAGAAAAACCAATTCTAAGAAATTTATTTGTTCATCAATTCATTTGTCTGTTTTGGGCATTACATAAACAAGGAAAACTCACTGTATCAAGCATCCTTTTCCCCCTTAAATAATCATATTTTAACTTAGGATATCTTTTTTTGTCAATTGTTAGGAAGTGTTAAAAGCGTTAGAGTTTCACGTAAATCTGCTTATGGGACATTTGAAATATATTTATAGATTTTGGAAATATTTTTATTTGATTGTTTTTTTTTTTTTGCTTTTTGGGTCTCACCCAGCGATACTCAGGAGTTACTCCTGTTTCTGCACTCAGGAATAACTCCTGGTGGTGCCGGGGGACCAACCATATGGGATGTCAAGAATCAAACCCGGTCATCCGCATGCAAGGCAAACGCCCTACCTGCTGCACTATCAGTCTGGGCCCTGGAAATATTTTTAAATACTTTTTATTCCGATGGTATTTTCATAATAGGATCTTTTACTAATTATATGCAAAACTGGGTTAGAAACTGTATTCCCTTTGCTTTAATTTCAAGAGCAATGCTTAGGAAAATAACATTTATTCTCTTCCTTATCTGTAGGGTGTGAAGGACTTAGCAAAACAAGTGAAGAGTTTGCCGGTAGTCAATTACAACCTCCTCAAGTATATTTGCAGGTAAGAGTTGTTCCAGAAACATCACAATAAAACAAGTCTGCTCATAAGTGATGTTAATTTCCGTTCGAGAGTGATTAGGACCTCTTCATTGCTTTGAGCTGCAGTAATGGCCGCTGTGAAATTAAGAATTGTGACTGGGTGATCTCAAAGACTTTTCTGAGCGTGAAACTGCTTGGTTTTCTAACTTGTTTCGAATCTTCCTTCCCTTTCTACATGTTAAAAAAACTATTACTTTGGGACTTCTTCTAATTAAATTTTATTAGAATGATGATGAATCTGGCAAAGCTATGTTTGTGATTTAGGTACAATGTAAGGCCTGGGATGGGCAGTGTCCTGTTCAAGAGTTCTAACACCGAGTGGAAATGGATGATTTCGTGACACAACTTAAGTCAGTTGTATTGTAGCACTGTAGCACTATCTCACTGTCCTCCCGTTGTTCATCAATTTGATCGAGCAGACACCAGTAACATCTCCATTGTGAGACTTGTTGTTACTGTTTTTGACATATCAAATATGCCATGGGGAGCTTGCCAGACTCTGCCGTGAGGGTGGGATACTCTCAGTAGCTTGCCAGGCTCTCCAAGAGGGACAGAGGAATCAAACCTGAGTCAGCCGTGTGCAAGGCAAACACCCTACCTGCTGTGCTCTCGCTCCAACCCAATTCAATTGTATTAACTAGAGAGGAAGTTTCTGGTAGTCACATACAGCATTGGAGGTCTAGAGAGAGCCTCATTAGCTGTGTATGAGCAAGAGGAAAGGGCCCTCTTCTGAGCAAGGCTTCCAGACAGACTTCTCTGGAGAAGGCCCTTGACTGCAGATGAAATCCAGAAGATATTTTAATTTGGGCTGTTATGATGAGCACATGTATACCCTATCTCAAAAGTGTCTTCTCGGGCACCTGTTCATATTAATTTAGGTGAGAACTATTTTTTTTTAATTTTTATTAGTGAGACATCATGAGGTACAGTTGTAGACTTACAAGTTTTTGTGCTTGGGTTTCAATTATACAATGATGAAATACCCATCCCTCCACCAGTGCTATTTTAAGACCCGGTCTCTATCTGTTCTTACCTTCCACGTGTCTGTTTGTATTGCTAAAATAGGTCATTCTCTCTTCCATCCCTCTCTTGCATAAACTCGGATGTCATTACATCTCAAAGACCCCACCTTTCCATCAGCTTAGATTATTCCAGTGGCATTGCATATTTTGATCTCTCAGGGCCTTTATAATGACCAGACCTATCACAAACCAAATATGGAAAATTGGAACACACGACATTTCATAAAGAAAAACAAAATTTAAAGAAAGTGGTTAGTACTGGGGTCAGACATGATAGCTTTCTAGACCATCCTAAAATAAAACTCAAATTTTAATTCATTGAGATTTATGATTACGTGTGCTTTTTATGTCATGATCCAATAAAGCTAGAAATTATGCAGTTTAAGACTCATGCCGGACACTTGTGGAAGTCGCTGTCAACTATAGTAGAGTCAGAATTATAGAACTTCTGACCACAACTCTTTCTGGTATGTCTACGAATTAAATAAACAAATTTCAGAATTTGAAGACAGAAAACTTTTACTGGCTGAGTACCTTATAATCACAAACATATACCATGCTTGTGTTCCAATATTTTGGATGAGCTCAAGCTACAGCAGTGAATAACCAAAGGTTACATTCTCCTTAAGTAAAAGGGGAAAGTGGGACTTGTTTGTGTGTCAGGTTGTAGTTCTTTATCGCCTCACATAATCGTTTTCCCTGAAAGATTTGAGCAGAATCTTATTTTCAGTTACTTTGACCAAGAAATGGTAGCAGCACTTTTTTGTCTTTTCATCTCTTTCATAGTTTAGGTTATAAAACAGTAGTGAATATGTAAATGGGCATCCTTCGGAAAAGTCAAAGCGAAGTAAGTGCGAACATTTGCATTCCAATTTCAGCTCTGTCACTTACTAATTCTGTGTCTGGAGATAATTCTAAATCCCTTTGGTACCTCCTGTGTCTTATCTGAAAAATGGAGATGGTAGTAATATTAATGTCATAAAGGCACTCTGAGAATTTAATTGACACAAAAGAACCTATTACCTTGAATAACACAAAATGAATTGTTTTTTTCTGTTTTGTGTGACTTAATTTCCTTTGGTTCTTCAGAATAACTAAAAGGCCACGAAGCAATAGAAGTTCTTATAGGAATAAAGAGGAGGTGAGGAGTGAGAAGAGCCTGAAAGATTTTATGAACAAACCCTCTTATAAAAGCATCGAGGAAAGACCTAGTTCATGACTATTCCTTAGCACTTAATTAACTGAAACACTGTGTGCTGCTAATTCTTCATATCACTAGAGAAGTTTTCGTTCAAATCACGTGTGATCTTATTTTAATACACTAAATTTGAAGCTCTCAAATTCATTTCAGAGAATTGATTTCTTCTCCCTGAAATAGGAACTGTACCTTATGATCTTAATAGTTGGGGCTTGAAAGAGAGTCTCTGTTCTTAAGTCTCATGTCCATTTTAGCATTATCCACGGACTTTTGTTCCTGTCACTGATAGAGAAGGTAATTGTTATGGCCCCTCAAATCTCACCCTTTTGCAATTACAGGCTATTTTCTCTATATTTTTCTGAGCGATAGCTTTATCTGAATAATTGTGTGTCTGTGTCATCTTTGAATCTACTTAAGATCAGACATTGTCAATGACTCATTTTCCTGCGCTGAAAAATTTGATCCCGGTGTGTTTTCTTCATGTTTTTGTGCTAAATAGATTCTTGGATGAAGTACAGTCCTATTCTGGAGTCAATAAAATGAGTGTGCAGAATTTAGCAACAGTCTTTGGTCCTAATATCCTGCGCCCCAAAGTGGAAGATCCTTTGACCATTATGGAGGGTGAGTAAATGATCATTCTGTTCTCTCATCAAAAGCATAATAAGCTGTCTGCTTGCTGTCTAGAAACTATTCTGAGAAATTTTAGAGAAGACTGGATTTTATTTATTCACTCATATTCTTCAAATGCAAATCCTTTCCTTTAGCAGGTAGACTTTTCTGAGTTATTAAACATATTCATGTACAGGGTCCAGTCTGCATCAGCCATATAAGAATGAATGAAAGTCCCACAAATGAATCTCAAAAGTCCCATACATTACATGAAAAGTATCCTGCAAGAATAAAATAATTAGTTCACTTTTCAAAGCATAATATCATTTTCAGAAAATTCAACTAGCTGATATTTTAATACCTTTTTTTACATTTTGGTTTTCCTTGATGTCAAGGAAACTTTCTGGCATTGGATGACTTCCTTTCTCTTGAGTATAGCAATCCTTCCCAGTCTTGTGTTTCTTGCTCCCAACTGGAAGCAGTTAATTTCCTAAAGTCCAATTTCCAAATATTTTTTTTCAATGCAAAAGGATATTTTAACGCCAAAGTTTAATTCCAGTGATGTGCAATACTAATAACATGGTTATTGTTCCTAAGCCTTTCAGTGGTCACAGCTAGTAGATAAATATGCTTTCTCACAGACATACATATTGCATTAATTATATCATACATATACTTGTTTATATTAAACACACATAGGTTAAAGAAAAATTGTCTCACAATTTTACACTGTATTTTTATATTAAGATCATAAATAAAGGGTTTTTGTTCATTCTTTTCCCTATTATCATAGTTTTGTCTTCTTTCAAATGGTAATCTTTGTTTTTAAAAAATATTGAAGACTACATAAACAGAAAATCTCATAACAAGATGTTTACTGCATTTTTCATTAAAATGTTTAAAGATGCTCTTCTAATTTTTCTTTTTAAAAATTGATACTATATCACTGCATTGTCAGAGGTTACCCCCATTGTATACACTATTCTCTCTCCATTTTAGTTCATTTCATTCTTAGGACATAAGAGTTTGGTACTCAATGCCCGCCCTTACACTGATGTCTCTCTAGCTCCAAGTTCTCAAATGAGGTTGAGGATATAAAGGGTGCTTCAGATGCATTCCGGACATCCACAAGTTCAAATAATTTTCATAATAATACAAAGATGTTTTATGTTCTTTCACTGTGTTGATACTTGCATTAATGGTATAAAATCAATGATGCATTTTAAGAAATCAATGGTACATCAACACTTGCATGTTAGTTTGGATCTAGGCAGTGTTTCTGTCTTCCACTGGCATCATTATATTCTTCGCATGCATTAGCAATATTGAGAAATGCCAATTTTACTTAAGAATGTTCTTGTTGAACATCAATAAACATTAACTATTAAATTACTGGTCTCAATACTGCATCTTTAATATTCTGTTGAAGTGGTGAGTTCTATGTATAAAAAAATTCTTCTGCATACTGTTTTTAAAACAATACAGAGATTCATTCTAGAGAAGCGCTTTTATAATTTACATGAGTTAAGAGTCTGATGGCTTGCTTTTTCTCATAATCTCATTTTCACTTAAATGAGAATGACTGATAAACTATTATTACTTTTTTCACTCAAGCATGACTGAGCATTCTCAAAAATGAACTTGGCCAACTTTTCACATTAAGGAAAACAACTGACAATATTTGTTACCACTGATAAAATTTGAACATCCAGGGCTGATACTAAGCATATCAGAGCCTGTAAGGCACTTGCCTTGCACACAGTCAACCCAGGTTTGATCCCCGGCATCCCATATAATCCCCAACACAGATAGAAATAATTCCTGAGTGCACAAGCAGGAGTAACCTCTGAGCGCTGCTGGATGTGACCCCAAAACAAAAACAAGTAAAATGTGAACATCCAAGTGAAAAGCTTGGATACAACATCTTGAACTTGATGGCCTTCTGATGTTTAGCCACTTTCCTGTTGACATTATTGTTCATATTAAAAATCATGCATTTTGATGCTATTGATTTAGGTGTGTTAACACTGGGAAGATTTGGATGACTTAGTTAACTTTCCAAACAATATGTCAGATTGGCTATGCAGGTATAAAAGAATGAATAATTAATATGAACAAATACTTCAATAAGTTAACCCCAGACTTGATTTTCTGACTTCACAGTGCTCAATAGTGTGCGTCCTCCCCCAAATATTACTATTAGCTTTGTTCCCATCATAGGGCAGAATTTCACTTTACCTTTTATTTCATTACAAGTGTGTTGGTTTCTTTGGGATTTTATTCAACACCCATCAATCAGTGTTGGTGTAGATGAGGTGGAAAAAACCACCCTCATTCAATGCTGGTGGGAATGTGGATTGGTTCAGCCTTTTTTAAAAACAAAATTTAAAAAAAAAACCCTGATCCCTTAAAAACCACTTCCATGATTGCCCTAAGCACTACCAATTTTGTCTCCCACAATAATGCAAATACTCAGCCTGAACTAATAACGCTGGAAGAACTCAAAATATAGGAGCTATTTGCCAGAGTCCAGTGCTCTAATAAATGCGTAGTTTTCATTATTCACCAAGCATGATATCTAACAGAGTACTGTGCTGTTTATTTACACACACACAAACACACACAACACTCACACGCATGCAAACCCCCAAAGAAGAAATCTTTGCTCAAGATATGAGATTGAATACTCAATCAAATATATTCATAATAGCTCTAATCTGAAAAGCCATATATGTATGTATAAGTTTTACAAGTTCCTAAGAAACTTTCAAGGAAAATGTAATTCTTATTTGATGCACATGAATGAAAGTACCTATGTTATTGAAATTCCACCTTTATAAGAGAACATTTCAGATATGAACCAATGGGAATTTCTGAGTCCTGTAGCACAGCTGACTCTAAAGCCTTCATGTACTTTTCCGAATGGATTCGTGACTATAGTTGCTCATTTTGTGGGCTCATGTTTCTCAGCATTCTAAGAAGAAAATGATAGAGAGGAGGGTATACACAGTGCAGGTGGGGTGGAGGAGGTGGGGCACATAGCAGTGCATACCTCGTGTCTTTCCTAATGGCTGTTAAAAATGATGAGAAAGTGCCTGTATAATAACGGGTATTTGTTACCCAGGTTAGACCAAAATAGAGACTCCCAAAATAGCAGAAATAAATTGCTTTATCTCTTGGGGCTCACTCTCTGATTGCTGCAGGTATAGTACAGTTTGGCACAACTACATCTCATTATCATCATAGGCTCATTATGGAGTTTTGGGTGCTGTCACTCATCAATTAATTAAAGATCCACACAGCTTGCAATTGTGATGAGGAATAGATGATACTTCAAATGTTAATATTCTAGCAGAAGATTGTCTCAATATCAGAGTTGAGAACTTTGATAGTTCTCCATTCTTTCTTTCCTGAGCATTCACACAACCCTGGCCATACGTGTTACTCTTTTTTTTAAATTTTTATTAGTGAAACACCATGAGGTACAGTTGTAGACTATGTGTTACTCTTATGCATTCTTGTGTATCTCTAAAACATGCAAGAGTTTTCTAATTCTCCTAGGAAATCTCATTTCTTAGATTTTCCTTTTAAACTTATTGGGTACCTTAGTGTTTGTCCCAATGATGAGCCTATGTTTCAAGCAACAATGATGTAAACAATGGAGCCCTCTTTCTATTTGACAAATGGTCTAAGAAACAAGACTGTTCATGTTGATCCAATTCCTACTTGGGTCAAATAGAGAAAAGTCCCATTTTGTGAGCCTTTCCAGGATCCACCAAAGAGGTCGGACAATGCCAGCCAACCCGGCCCTACCCATCCAGAAGCTACCAGTCCATGCATGTGAATGTGCACTTCTCAATTTTACAGTTTTTCTGCACTCCTGGGAAAAGACAGATGGGATTAGGGAAAGTGCCACAGAACTGACTATTCTTTTTGATATTTAATCTCCTTTTCCAATAACCATTCTTTAGAATATAACCAGTATTTAGATTCTAAATTTCTGAAAAAGTTTATTCTGAATATTTTGTCTGTTGTTTTATGGAGAAAATGAGGGGGGAAGGGCGTCTCCTTGTTGTGCCAGAATGCCTGATGTCACTGAAATTACGTGAAGCTTCTGAATAATGAGCAAAAGTCAGATTTTGCTTCACTGTCTTGCTTCATTCAAAGAAAATCATATATCTTCTAGATATGAGCTTGGTGTAAAGGTCTCAATAAAATAGCTAGGTGATTTGAGGTATTAGTCCATAAATGACTTCTGCCTAGGGAATTTTTCTTATAGTTAAATATAAAATTCCTCCAGAAATATTGCAAAATGATTAAGCAGCCAACCTTTGGAACTAGCTTATTCTGCCGTAAGTTTTGAGTCTGCTTCTAAATACCTTAACCTTGGTCAAGTACCCTTGGTCCATGACGCATTTGATATGCCAAACACAGTAACAACAAGTCTCACGGTGGAGACGTTACTGGGCTCGAGCGAATCGATGAACAACGGGAGGACCGTGACCACGTTAATAAGTGTTTATTCATAGATTTGGTTTTTACCGAGTTAGTAAAAGTACAGTGCTGTTTATAGTTTATGCTTATATAGTAAATGCTCAAGAAATATTGGCTTCTCTGGCTACTCCAGTGGTTAAGGATACAGTTTAGCAAGGCTGTTAACAAAGCTGAATGTTCATCTGTACATGGCACTTCAGTAGTCACACTCAAAAAGAAAATTAAAGCAAAACTGTCTCACTCGCACTAACTTGGTTTTCTGTGCAATTCCAGGCACGGTGGTGGTCCAGCAACTGATGTCCGTGATGATCAGCAAACACGATCGCCTCTTCCCCAAAGACACAGATCTTCAAAGCAAGCCCCAAGATGGCACGTGCAACAACAACAATGACCTCCAGAAGAAAGCCACCATGGGTCAGCTCCAGAACAAAGAGAACAATAACACCAAGGAGAGTCCCGGCAGGCAGTGCTCCTGGGACAAGCCGGAGTCCCCGCAGAGAAGCAGCATAGATAACGGGTCACCCACAGCCCTCTCGGGCAGCAAAACCAACAGTCCACGGAACAGCGTGCACAAGCTGGACGTGTCTCGGAGCCCCCCTCTCATGGTGAAGAAGAACCCCGCCTTCAATAAGGGGAGCGGGATTGTCACCAACGGCTCTTTCAGCAGCAGCAACATGGAAGGACTGGAGAAAGCCCAGAGCACGCCCAATGGGAGCTTGCAGGCCAGGAGAACCTCCTCCCTGAAGGGCCCTGGCACTAAAATGGGCACCCACAGTGTGCAGAATGGAACTGCACGCCTGGGAGTCCTCAACAGCGACACCCTGGGGCCCCCCATGAACGGTCGCAGCATGAGCTGGCTGCCCAATGGCTATGTGACCCTGAGGGACACCAAGCCGAAGGAGCAGGCAGGCGAGTCAGGCCAGCACCACCGGCTCTCAACCTACGACAACGTCCATCAGCAGTTCCCCACGGTGAACCTGGATGACAAGCAGAGCGTGGACAGCGCCACCTGGTCCACGTCCTCCTGTGAGATCTCCCTCCCCGAGAACTCCAATTCCTGCCGGTCCTCCACCACCACCTGCCCAGAACCAGACTTTTACGCGGGCAACTTTGAGGACCCTGTTTTGGATGGGGCCCCCCAAGATGACCTCTCCCACCCTGGGGACTATGAAAACAAGAGTGACCGGAGGAGTGTGGGAGGTCGAAGTAGTCGTGCCACCAGCAGCAGCGACAACAGTGAGACGTTCGTTGGCAACAACACCGGCAACCACAGTGCACTACACAGTCTGGTGTCCAGCTTGAAACAGGAAATGACCAAACAGAAGATAGAGTATGAGTCTAGGATAAAGAGGTGAGGACTGGACCTCATCATTGCCAGAGAGGGCGTTGCAGTCGCTAAGAGGGAGCCACTCATGGAGGGGCTTAAATTGGGGCCGAGAAGCTTAGTAAACTTCGTTAAGGTTACTTACCTTGCATGACGATCTCAATTCAACCCTTAGCATAGCTGATGGTGCCCTGAGCCCCACCAAGAGCACAGAGCCAGGAGTAAGCCCTGAGCACTGCTAGGTGTGGCTCCTCCCAAGCAAAATGGTTGTAGTCAGAGGAGACTGGAGTTCATGATTTCCTTCTAAGACATTTGTGAGCTGTTCGAACCTGGGAAAGACCAAAATTCCCACGGGGCTTTAGTTTCCGAATGCTATTACTGCGCACTCAGAAAGCATGCAAGAATGCATGAGGATGGTTGCTTGGTGCCTCATGTCATTATTATTAAACATGTGGACATGTACAGGTTGGGGGTTAAGGGGTAACTAGAGATGAAGGAGTAGAAAGGGATGGGAAGATAATACCAGGAAGTGGTGGAGGTGAATAGACCTTGAATCCTTATTCTTTCAAGATGCTGAGTGACTGCTATTGGCCAGGTCAGTTCTAGACTCTGTGGAAAGTAGGGAGAGTAAAGCAGACAGAACTCTGCTCTCATAGCAGATTTCCATTCTACTGGAGGAGACGAATTTAAAATAAATCAAATAGGTCACTAAAGTGGAGAAGAGAGCTAAGTGTTGGAAGGAAGTAACCTAGGAGGGGAACAGAGGCCAGAGCCTAGATCGTTGCAGGGCTTTGATTTTACACAGTTAGTTCTGCATGGCAAAGCCTGGCAAGCTCCCCGTGACATATTCAATATGCCAAACACAGTAACAACAAGTCTCACGATGGAGATGTTACTGGGTCCGCTCGAGCAATGAACAATGGAAGGACAGTGCAGTGCAGTGCTAGGAACCCATGGAGATTTCGGAGGGACGTTGTGACATTTAGGATATTTACAGAGATGAGGGAAATCAAAGCCCAAGGTGGGAGGGAGGGAGACACAAGTCTATAAGGAAAGAGCTCAAGCTAAATGGTACCAGTTTCCATCGGATGACTAAGTAGAAGCTGGCCTAGCAACTTATTTCAGCATCATTAGAAACACAGGGCTGTGTCCCACCTTCCAGCTCCCAGGGTTCCACAGAATTTCCAGGAAGGACCAAGGGAATCGAGTCCAGAACTCACAAGTGACGTACCTGAATACTTTCTGCTAGAAACCAGTCACCGCCCACCATGGTTTTATCATGACCACAGAAATGACCAAATGGATTCCTCGAGTGTAGTGTGAGAAAAGATGACCCAGCCCTCCTGTGGGGTGACCCAGGGCTGTCTTCAGTGTGCTGACCTCTGTGCCGCCTCTGTCTGCTGGCTTCAGGCCTGGGTCCTGGGTCTGACTCTTCTTGATCTGCTGCTGAGTTTCTGATTAATGATGGGTTTGTACTACTTTAGTGGCTTCCTTGCTCTGATGAAGGGACTCAGTAGGAAATTTTCACACCCCAGTGTTCTGCTCAGGCTTGTTGAGCTTCAGATGGGCGGCAGAAGAGAAAGGATAGTGGAACAACGTCCATGTGGGGTGATCTGTGGTGGGCACGCTGGTCCCCCTTGGACAGGGTAGAACAAGATTTAAATCTAAGCTAAGGTTTGGGGGAGAAACCTGAGAGCCAAGCAGGAGAGGGGGCAGGAGGAAAAGGGAAGTTTATTTACTGCAAAGATGAAGGTGGATTTCTCAGGACATCTCTACAGATAACCACCAACACATTTGATAACAACCCCCCCCCCCCACCCCAGTCTTCTTTCTTTTAGGCAAGAAGAGGGAGCAGCAATTGCTTCTTGGATCAGGAAAGGACCAGAGTTTGGTTCTTATCTTCAGAAAATTCTTTATTCTCAACTCCAAATAATGTGCAAGCCATAGCTGGTGGTGTATATAGTATATGGGCCATAATATACTATATAGTAATTAATATAGCATATTAATTAATCCATTCTCTATATCTATCCATCTCTATTTATTATACTATATTTCCATATATTTTGGTGAGCTGGTATGGCTAATTTTCATCAAAGCTGATTTTCAGTTTAGTAACTTTCTCTTTGATTTGATTCCATTACTTCTCCATGAGCAGAGTTTTGGTAGTTCCTTTTTCATGAAGGCAGTTGGTATTCCAAGGTCTCAATTAATTCATTTTCAAATTTCAGTCTCTTATATTTGTGTGATTACATTCCATATTATAAATTTGAATTTAATTTTGAGTTCTGACACCTGAAAGGTTTTTGCAATCTCCTTTAAGCTTAACTATGTAGTGTTTAGAAACCATTGCCCCCAACATCAATGAGTGTTTGCAGTGGAAGAGGTTTCCTTTCATGTTCAATTCAGTCTATTAGATTATTGAAAGTTTCATACAAGTGTTGATACATACAAATATATAAAAATAGCTTTTAAAATAATTTCTCCTAGAGTTATAGGCTCAAGTTTTTTCTATATTTTTAGTTCTAAACTAGTTTATAAAACAAAGATAATATATATATATATATATATATATATATATATACAATGGTTTAATGACAACCAGAACACTATTATACTGTTGTATAAAGTGTGATTTAATGGTCAAAATAGTATCTAAATTGATTACAGAATGTAAATATTAGTTCCTTACAAAGGAAAACAGATCCCTTTAAAAATGTTATTATTATCTAGATTAAATGCCAACGTATGGCCTATTACCAAAATAAAATTAAGATTTTAATTAAAAAGTATTATCGAAGTAGTCATATTTCTGAGAGTAAAACACATTAGCATTAAATTGCAGTTTTATGGTAAATTTGAACATGTCCAAGAGTCTTTAGTTCAGAGTAAGAGAAATTAAAAATCATTTTACCAAAATGAATTATTATCATAAACCAGTTCTTAACATCCCTCCAGAAACAATAAATTTTAAATAATGTTTCTAGTTTAATAAATTATTGCCTTTGAAACATAGGATCATGAGCATTCTGTTTTCAAGGTTGTTATCTAAAACTATACAATTAACTTAAAAGAACACAGCTGGAGGTCAGTAATTATATCGAAAGATTCTAATGTGGCAGTGAGAATTGCAAATGGCAGACTTTATTGTTGGACTTCATTCTTACAAAAATTCCAAGTATTTGATACCTCTTGTAAATGTAATGTGACTATTTTAACAAGTCACAGCTCTTAATGTCCCAAGGACTGTCTTCTTAGCAGTGGGCTGCATGTAGCAATGACATTTTCACTGCCGCTGTTGTCCTTTGACAGAAGCTGATTAGAAACCATTCCCCTGCAACATCAATGAGTGCTTGTCCTCATAGTTGATTGATGTTTTTCTTTCAACTTGGTCAGTTCCCCTCCCTCCATATTTGATGAAGCCAAGTGGCTACAAAAAGCCTTGCTGTTTCAGCTGTCCAGTGCATCTGCTGTTCTGTACTATCTGAAATTGCCACTGGCTTCTCTTCTCTGGGCTAACATTCATTTATTATTAAATGACAGCAAAGTGCTTCTGAAGGAATCTTGGTGTCTTGTTGAAGTGTTGGCAAATAAGTTTAAAATCTAAAGAAATAATAGCTCTTAAAATCTTGGCCCCTACTTCACTGATTTCAAAGGACTCGTTCCAATCTCCCAGAACCTCAGAGACACTTCAGAAAATATTTGCTATCTTGAATTTCACATTTCACAGTCACTGTCACTGTCATCCCGTTGATCGTTGATCGTCGAATTACTAGAGTGGGTGCCAGTACCGTCTCTATTCCTCCCAGTCCTGAGATTTTAGCAGCCTCTTCTTTTTTTATTTTATTTTATTTTTATTAGTGAAACACCATGAGGTACAGTTGTAGATTTGCAGTTTTTTGTGCTTGGGTTTCGATTATACAATGATCAAACACCCATCCCTCCGCCAGTGCCCATTTTCCACCACCATGGAGAATATCCCCCCACGCACATCCCCCCCATCCCACCCTGCCTCTGTGGCAGGGCAATCCCTTGTGTTCTCTCTCTTCTTTTGGGTGTTATGGTCTGCAAAAGAGGCATTGAGTGGCAAACATGTTCAGTCCATAGTCTACTTTCGACATGCATCTCCCCTCCTGGGAGGATCCTCCAAACACCCTTTATTTGGTGCTCCCTTCTCTATCTGAGCTAGCAGCCTCTTCTTACTCATCTTTTCCCAAACGACTGGAGGCTCTTTCAGGGTCAGGGGAATGAGACCTGTTGTCATTACTGTGTTTGGCATATCGAATACACCACGGGGAGCTTGCCAGGCTCTGCCCGTGTGGGCTGGATACTCTCGGTAGCTTGCTGGGCTCTCCGCGAGGCATCTATTTATATATTTTTCTCTATGATTTTGAATTTCAAGTGACTCGAACTGATTTACTTCTTATTCCTCCCCTCCCCCTTCACAGCTTAGAACAGAGAAACATGACTTTGGAAACAGAAATGATGAACCTCCACGATGAGCTGGATCAAGAGAGGAAAAAGTTCACCATGGTCGAAATAAAGATGCGGAATGCCGAGAGAGCGAAAGAGGATGCGGAGAAGAGAAACGACATGCTTCAGAAAGAAATGGAGCAGTTCTTTTCTACGTTTGGGGAGCTGACAGTAGAACCCAGGAGAACCGAGAGAGGAAATACTATATGGATTCAATGAGCCCGCGTTCTCCCTTTGTCCTGACGGGATCTGGGAAAGACCGTAGGGGTTCTGGTGGGAATATACGGGATCAGGTGGCTGGTTGCCTGGTTGTGCAGTACCCTCACTGGGGAAGGGATATCATTTATAGACATCACACATCCATATCTGCAACGTGTACCAAAGTTATATCATGCCTCATAATGCTACTGTCAAGTGTTACAACTGGATATGTGTATATAGAGTAGTTTTTCAAAAGTAAACTAAAAATGAGACGCATAGCTCCAGAATTATTTTATTGCAAGTCTTGTATTTAAAATGTTAAATCAATATGTCGTTGCAATTCAGCTTGCTTTCAAGCTTCACTTCTTGCACTTAACATAAGCTATTTTTGGCATTGTGTTATCATCAGCTTATTTTATAGATCGATATTTTTATTTCCCCTTTTGTTGAGGAAATGAAGATAAGCAGATATATAAATATATAAGAGTATATATCAGAGGAGTTATTAAAATCGAAAGAATACTTTGTGATCGTGCTGTTTGTGCCAATAGACCTTGCCATGACCAAAAAGAGAAATGTAAATAGTTTTTATAAAATATAGCAGAATCACCAGGAATCTTTGAACTGCTCTTTAAGTTTGTCCCTTGATATGACTTAGGTTTTTTTTTTTTGTCAGATGACTTGACCCATGACACATGACTATGTTAAATCTCCCCTTCTCAAAGCCCTGTGCCTGAATTGCCAATTCCACAGAAAAATATCTCCTATTTGCGAGCACCTAGAGGAGAGAAGTGGTCAAGGAAAGCATTGAATGAGTTGTGCCTTGGATTTTTTCTGCCATTCTGTAATGAATCTCTGTAACTGCTGGATAGTTACCAGAGAAATTCTCTCAAGTTGAACTTGACTAACAGTGCTTGGTAGACGGTGCCCATGTGGACACGTGTCCCCCCTTAAACCTTTCCTCTTCTCCCAGCTGTTCCACCTGGGAACACTGGCAGAGACAGGCTCCTGCAGGTGGGACTGTGGAGTTGTCATCCAGGACAAACCTGGCAGAACAGGAGACAAAGGCGGACAGAGTGCAGCCAAGGGAGGCGAACTAGGGAGGGGAACAGAAGGAGAAGAAAACGTGTTTTGGCAGAAACAACTAGAAACAACAAATTAACCCCCTGTCCCCTTTTTCCTTTTTTTCTTTTTGTTAACCATCTTGTTGATTCCTGGTGAAAACATCATAATTCATAGCCATTTTAAACATGAATGCTTAAAACGTCTATTTTGTAAACATCAAGAATGGTAATTTTCTAGAAATCTCAGAGCTTCATAACGATTTGGAAGAACGGTTCTGCACATTTCAATAAGACAAGAAACCAGGCAAATCAATCTTTTTCACACTAGAACAAAAGCCACAAAAAAGCGTAACAAGAAATAAAGCATACTTGAGTTGATGGGATCTGTGTGGAAGGTTTGTGTTTGACTGTTTGCGAGGGGGAAAGTGATCTTTTTCTCTCTCATCCTTGACATTATGCTGCTTTGTTTCTCTCCGCTGAGCGTGCCTGTGTGCCCCTTCAACATCAGTCACTTTATCTGTGCTGACATCATCTACGTCTTTATTTCCCTTTCTTTCTCTTTAACCAATTTAACCAGATGTGTCCACCGGGATACCCTAGGAGAAACCCAAACTCAGTGTGTGGAAAATTGATTTCAACTACTCACTACTGACCTCACAGTTTTGTTTTTGTTGCTTGTTGGGTTTGGGTTTGGGTTTGGGTTTGGGGCCACACCAGGCAATGCTCAGGGGTTACTCCTGGCTCTGCAATCTCCTGGCAGGATTGGGAGACCATAGAGGGTGTGGGGGATTGAACCTGGGTGGGCCACATGCAAACAAATGCCCTATCCATTCTATTGTTTCAGCCCTTCTTTTCATGTTTTTCCAGTCACTCTCTTACTTCATTAAAATCTTAGTCTCGGTTAGGGAGCTGTAAAATGTTCCAATAAAAAGCCAAGACTAGGTAGGCCCCCTGCATTCAGAGTCTGCTTGCTCCTACTGAACCTTCTTCAGCTGTCTTTCATTTGTAGGTGGGGATGATAAAAATCCCACCCCCCAGGGGCAGGCCATTATCACCCAAACAAAGCCCTGGCAGCTGCTCACTCCCACACTCCAAAGTAGCTGGGATAGAGAAGGGATCGCTAAGTCAATGATTGTGGGAGGGATTGTTTGGGATGAGAGATGTGTGCTGAAAGTAGATAAAGGACCAAAAGTGATAGCCTCTCGGTGTCTGTATTACAAACCATAATGCCCAAAAGTAGAGAGCGAGTATGGAGGAAATTCTCTGCCATAGAGGGAGGGGGAAGATTGGGAATGGGATAGGAGGAATACTGGGAACATTGGTGGTGGAAAATGTGCACTGGTGGAGGGATGGGTGTTTGATCATTGTATGACTGAAACTCAAACATGAAAGCTTTGTAACTGTATTATTCACGGCGATTCGATTAAAAAAAATTTTAAAGGAGAGACAAAACAAAAAAAAACCCTCCAGCCAGACTCCATCACTTCAGGACTAAGACTTGCAAAGAAATTATCCTATGCAGGTGCAGGGTTGTCTGTGAGTGAGTTGTCCAGGCCTTCTCAGAGGGATGAGCTGCCTCCCTGCATCTCCCTGTACTTCTGGGAGCCCTCACATTCACACCCACACTCCAAAGCCACCACCCTGTTAAAAATTTAACTTCAGCTGTACCACTCAGTTAAAAATTCCAAATTTCCTGGAGTGTGAGGTCACATTCATGGCCATGTGGTGTCTCTGAGCATACCTGCAGTCCAGCGGTGTACATCAGATTGGATGGGATATAAAGACCAACCTGTCTCGACTTACAAAAACATTAACACAGAAGTCTTAACTGGTAAAAACATCTTAGTAATCTCTCATACAAGGACTTAATGTTTCCATGGTGAGATACGAGTTTTACTAATTTTCTTCTAAGGAAATAACTTTTGATCATTCCACTAGCAATATGTTGATAACAATATATTTGCTAGTGGAGTGATAGCACAATGGGTAGGGCATTTGCCTTGCACACGGCCAACACGGCTGACCTGGGTTCGATTCCTCCGCCCCTCTCGGAGAGCCCAGCAAGCTCCCCGTGATGTATTCAATATGCCAAACACAGTAACAACAAGTGTCATAATGGAGACGTTACTCAGCCCACTTGAGCAAAATTGATGAACAACGGGAGGACAGTGCTACAGTGCTACAGTATGGGTTGGCTGCTGGGCAGCCTTGAGAGGTGGTTGGGAAAATTGGAGACAATGATGGAGGGAAGGTGATAGTGGTGGACGGATTGATGTTGAAATATTGAATGCCCATAGAAATCACGAATAACTTTGTAAACCACAGTGTTTGAATAAAATGTGTGTGTGTGTGTGTGGGGAGGGGGGGGGGAAATCCCATCCTCATGCATTTGCAGTGTGGTTCCAGCATGACAACACTCCTTCAAGCTGAGCACAGCTCCTAGTGTACAGGGAAGAACATCATGTACATTCCGTGTGCTTGGGGGGCACACCTGCTCAGGGCATACTTCTGGCTTTAAACTTTGGGTTCACTCCGGGTTGGTCTCTGGGGACCCAATGGGGTTCCAGAAATCAAGTCCAGGTATGTGTGTACAGGATACCCTACCCTGTACTAGCTCTCTTGCCAACGTGCATTCTCTTTCTTTTGGGGGTTGGGGGTATGAAACTTTATTGAAACACCGTGATTTGCAGAGTTTTTCACAATACAGTTATTTCAGGTATTGGATATTCCAACACCAGTCCCAGCACCACTGTGCTCTTCCCGCCACCAATATTCCAGGTTTCCCACCCACCCCAACCCCAATCCCCACGCCTACTCTCAAGGAAGACACACAATCATTTTAGATTAAATAATTAAATTATTAAATGATTTGATTGATTCATTTTAGATTAAAGTAATTTAATCTTAGCAGGCACCAAATAATTTTATGGCTCGTCGTTGCAAGTTGTTTCACAACTTGCTTGGTTTGTTGCTAAAGTCATGACCTGAGGATTTACTGAGCTGGTCGGTGCGAGCTGAGCCTTCTGGCTTACTGTTTTCACTCACTGATCTTAGTGGGCTTCTACTCAATTTTTCCTTTCGGATTTCTTGTGCTTCTACTGGGCTGTCAGCTCTGTGAAGTTTGGAGGTGTGGTGCAGCCACATACGTCACTGCTCACATCAGGAGCTTTGGAGCGGGGACCATCCATCAGCTGCTGGCATCTCTGTGGCATCTCTGAGATCAGCTGTGAGCCTGGATGTGTCTCTGGCAGAGACGGAAGGTGGAGGTGGGTAGGTGGAGTGCTGGGCATTTGACACGATGAGGACTCCATAGGCCCACATCCCACTAAGGCTTCCGAGATCTTGGCCAGTGGTGGGGGGCCTTACCTGGGATTACTCACCTGCTGGCAACCCTCCAGGATCAGCTGTGAAGCCAGGACACTTTTCTGGGCAGTGACAGGAGGCCCGGGTACTTTCTTTCTTTCTTTTTTTTTTTTTTATCTCTCTTTGGGTCACACCCGGCAATGCACAGAGCTTTCTCCTGGCTCTGCACTCAGGATTACACCTGGTGGTGCTCAGGGGACCATATGAGATACTGGGAATTGAACCCAGGTCAGCTGAGTGCAAGGCAAATGCCCTACCTGCTGTGCTGTCTCTCCAGCCCCAAGCCTTACTCCTTTATTCTAGCATTTCATTTGTATTGGGTTGAAAGCTTCCCATCCCCTACTCTTTTCAGTTGAATCATTGGGAGATACACAGTTATAAAGTTGTTCGTGACTGAGTTTTAGTCATGCAGTGTTCCAACATTCATCCCTCTACCAGTGCATTTTCCACCACTAGTGTCCCCAGTTTCCCTCCCACCCATCACACACCGTACATTTATGGCAGACACTTTTTCTCTCTCTCTATCCCCCTCTTGCTCTCTCTTTCCCGCTCTATCTCTTCCCCCCCCCCCCATCTCTATCTCTTTCTGTTATTTTCCTTTTAGGTAAAAGAGTATCATGCATATCGCTACATACAGACAACCACATCCAAAAATGGGGAGAAGAGATGAACAGAAACTTCCTTAAAAAAGAAATACAGATGGTCAAAAAGCACATGGAAAAGTGCTCCAAAGGGCTAATTATCAGGAAATCCAAATCAAAACAACAATGTGATGTCATCTCATGCTGCTGATGTTTTAGTACTCATCAAAAAGAAGAGTGAGTGCTGGTGCATAAATTGGGAGGAAGTGTCTCTCATTCACAGCTGGTGGGAATGCTTTGGTCCAGCCTTTCTGGAAGACAATATGGACATTCCTCAAAAAACTAGCAATTGAGCTTCCATATGACCCTGCAATACATATGCTAGAGGGTTGACCCTTATCAGTCACCCATCCAGCCGTACCTTGGACTTGCTGGTAGCATTTGGCTCTCAGTGCCTCCAGGACAACGCCCTTCACACAAATCTCATCCTGTGTGATGGAAGCTCTGTCGTGCGGCCTCACTTTCCTCCCCTCCTGAATCCTTGCAACTATATCTTCGTTCTCCTTGTATCTTCCATTCCTCACACCATCCCAGGCGTCTCCCACCTCCCTTGTGTCCTGTCTACCCACCTCTGTGTGTCACACTCCAGCTCTCTGCAGAGGGAGATCCAGACTCAGGCCTCCAACAAGTTTTCTAGGTCCTCAAAGCAGAATTAGTTACGGTTTGTGACAGCAATATACGTATTTATCTCTTAGACTTTGGCACAGTTGATTGTTCCCCACTCCAAATAAAGCAGCATTTTAGGTACAGCATAGAATGAGAATAGCAGAAAACTAAGAGTTTGTGTGCGTTCGATGGCAGGGAATCTAATGACATGACAATGACAGGTCGCAACCTCTGGGAAACTTCTACGGAGTAGCCTACTTTGTACTTTAGTGCGTTTGGGATTTGGAATTTTTTTTTTTTGGTGGTTTTATTTTTGTTTCTCTTGCTTTTCTTTTTTTTGTCTCCCAAGCAATTAGCCAACTAGGTCAGCAGTTGATTGTGAGGACGTGAGGTTCCAGGGATGACCTCAGCTGCCTGGTGGGGCTCGGGGGGTCTCCACGGTCACACCAGATTATGCTCAACTCCTCTGTTCATTATGAGACCCAAAGACATCTGAAGACATAGGCAGGACCTCGTGTTGCAGCAGCCAACACGGAGTACATTTTGTCTTATTTAAACTTGCAAGTCTCATGAAGAGAGAGGGCTAGAACTCCCCAAGGTCAGTTTTCTCTTCTTTATAGTCTACTTAATTACACAAGTGGGGAACCAGTGTGGAGTTAGAACTGCCCAGCTTAAGGGCCTCTCATAGCCAATGTCGTGGAAACCTAATTGCTCCCCAGGTAGTTAAAGCATACTGGGCCGACTGCTGCTCTTTGAATAGCAGTTGTAGCT